TTTTTCATAATTAATGGTGTGCACTTTCATTGAATATTTCATTAGGAATTTTGGGCGCTTTCATTGCTTTTTTCATAATTAATCCTGTGTGATTTCAATAAATATTTCATTCACTATGTTAGGTGTATTCAATGCCTCTATCATATCTAATGGTGTGCACTTTCATTGAATATTTCATTAGGAATATTGGATGCTTTCATTGTACTTTTCATAATTAATGTTGTGCAATTTCAATAAATATCTCATTCCCTAGGTCAGGTGTATTCATTGCCTCTTTCATATTTAATTGTGTGCGCTTTCATTGAATATTTCATTAGGAATATTGGATGCTTTCATTGTACTTTTCATAATTAATGTTGTGCAATTTCAATAAATATCTCATTCCCTAGGTCAGGTGTATTCATTGCCTCTTTCATATTTAATAGTGTGCGCTTTCATTGAATATTTCATTAGGAATATTGGATGCTTTCATTGTACTTTTCATAATTAATGTTGTGCAATTTCAATAAATATCTCATTCCCTATGTCAGGTGTATTCATTGCCTCTTTCATATTTAATTGTGTGCGCTTTCATTGAATATTTCATTAGGAATATTGGATGCTTTCATTGTACTTTTTATAATTAATGTTGTGCAATTTCAATAAATATCTCATTCCCTAGGTCAGGTGTATTCATTGCCTCTTGCATAATTAATGCTGTGCGCTTTCATTGAATATTTCATTATCAATTCTGGGTGCTTTCATTGTGCATTTCAATAAATATTTCATTAGCTAGGTTATATGTATTCATTGCTTCTTTCATAATTAATGATGTGCACTTTCATTGAATATTCCACAGCTTTCATTGGGATTTTTCATTGAGTATCTCAATATTTCATTCCAATTTCATATCTGCCCCCAGGGATATCATTATGATTTTTCATTATATTCCATGATAGCAATGAAATAGCTATTACGGTCCATCCAATGGGTCATTCCCAGTGAAAATCGACCCTGTGCAGATCAGGTTCCTCCGGATAAAATCGATATATTTGCCAATTTCCGGCCATCTCCCCTGTTCAGATCGGGCTCCACCGATCCATTTGGCCATTTTTTAGGTTCGATTTTCACTGGGGGTCATTGGGAGGGTGGTCACATGACAAATTTCCAAAAATGGTAAAAAAACAAAAGTTGTAGCTCTTTATCATAGCTTCCAGAATCAGTTGGAATTATGTCCTAAAGTGCTTCCATTGTGGAGATATAAGGTAAAAGGTTTTCAAAAGCACCGCGTTTTTTTTTGTTTTTTGCATTTTTCTTCATGAAAAGAACACTAAACAACATGATTTCAACAGATTTAGAAAGCTAAGAGAAGGGGCTACAACTATTGTATCGTGGGAAATTTCTCCCAAAAAGGAAGGTACATGCCCTAAAAGGGTAATTGACACTGACAGACTACAAAAGTAATTTATAGCCTACAAAGTTTACTAATAGACTACAAAAAAGACTACAAAAGTTGGACATAGACCACAAAGGTCAGTCAAAGACTACAAAAATTAGTAGTGTCTGCTTTTCTCATTACAAAAGTAATAGTGTCCGCTTTTTGAGACTACAAAAATTAGTAGTGTCTGTCTTTTCAGACTACAATGGTTTGTAGTGTCCGCTTTTTGAGAC